TAATAATAATAATAGTAATAGTAATAATAATAATAATAATAATAATAATAATAATAATAATAATAATCAATTTCCACGAAACGGGTTTAGAAATGCAACCCTCTAAACACGTCAGCTCGATAACTTGCCTCATCAGAATAACCTTTTTCCACTACTTCCTTTTGAAACTTTTTTATGTTGGTTAGTTTCACAATATTAAGTTTTCCATTTAATTTCTGCATGTCTAAGTTTTTCAGTATTATGTGCTGCATTGTGTAACTATGTAAAAGTATTGGAGCCAGCACCTAACCGCAATGAGAGCAGGACTTCACATATAAATAATAAAAGACAATACTTCTAAGGTCTATATCAACATAATTCAAACGCAAATTTAAAGAGAAAATTTTGAAGATATATAAAAAATAAAATACTATAAAAACTAATTTTGACTGAAAAATCATCCCAAGTCCCCATTATTAATACTTTGAGAGAGTCACAAAATAATCCAAACCAGCCACAACAAGCTTCTCGCTATTCATAAACGTTAAAATTTCGATTTTGGTATATGAAAAAATGTACGAACTGATCGGCACAGTACAAAGACGAGAGACACTTTGACCAAAACCAAGATATTAATGTATATGAGTAGCAGGAGGTTTTCTGTGGATTTGTACGTACAGTAGTTTTTCATATACTGGCACAAATAAATGGCAATAGTATGATGCCATATAGCAAATATTTATTTATTATTCTGCTAAATATTGTATAAAGAATGAACTGTCTCTCCACTGTATCTCGTTGAGGGACAGATCCGCACAAAATGTACTTGCAAAAATAAATAAAAAGCACTAGAACGGCGTAAATCCTCTATATTTTTCTTACCTCTTTTCTTTCAAACATTTACTTTTTCTGTGGCAAATCGAAATCAGTGTATTATCACCTTCTAAAAGGTCTTGAATCAGAAAAAATACGAAGGCATCGAGTGTGCTTTGGTATGTGCCATTATGTTACATAATGCAGGTAACAACATTTTTATGACACACTCATTCATACCGTTCAAGTGGGAAGTGGAATTATCGGTTAAGTGCGGAAGTTAAAGAAAAAGGCTTGCACTAATGTTTTGCGAATGATAAATTCTCGTTAAAGTGCAGCAAATGGGAGTTCTCCTGTCAAAGAGAATTATCTCACCTGATATTCTCATGGCTATTTACGTCATTACTCTAATATGGAACAAAAACCAGCGCGATGTAAGTTTGCAAACCAGGCGATAACCACGGTTTAACCCTTTCACATTACAAGGAAAGCGGTTAACATTTTTTTCTAGGACTTTTACCCAGTCGGCAGCCGATCACTCTTTACGTATCGATGGGCCGCATGTTCGAACATCACTAGTCACCAGCACACTTGCGGCTTGCGGGCTCCTCTTGTCTGAGATGTACATAGCGCGCGGTCATCGTGATAACAGACAGGACTCGAACTCGCGACCCTTCGAACCGAAGGGCTGAGTCGGCACACGCTCTTAGCAACTTCGTCCATCCAGGCCAGGAAAATATTTCACTTTTTCAAATACAGATTAAATGTGTTAAAACAAGGACACGTACGTTTGTTTTTACTTTCTCGCACTTAAGAAGGAACTTCTTAAGAACATATAGTTATGTAACGCTGCGCGAAAAAACTGAAATTTTCGGCAGACAAACTTTTATTGTGGGGCCATGGTAACAAAAAAATGGACAAATCCAGTTGCTAAATTTAGGGGGAAAACCCTCTAACACGTGGTGTAGCCAGAATCCATGATTTGTGCCACGAGTGATTTTAGAAATTTTGGACTCGCGAAGAGAGAAGGGGATTTATTTGAGAATTTCCAAAGCACAAGTGGTATTTAATAAAACTATTTCAAGAGGAAAATTATGTCCAACAGAGTTCCAAAATGCGCCAAATATTGAAAATGTGTTAAAATCAATGAACATAGGCATTTTATATAGACGGTTTATTGGTCATCGAAATGGTGATTAATGTAATCCGCCTCTTTAAATACATGAATCACTGTTTATGATTAACCAGAATGGAGAAGTAGTGAGAAAAATCGAATTAAAAAAAGCGATAAGCTTTTTGAAATACACCACCCTGATTGGGGCATTATGTATGTATAAATTATATACATCTTAAACACAATTGGTTTTAATTTCACGAGTGGAATCTCACATTGTGAATATATAGACAGAATGCAGAACATACATGCAACAGAATATACATGTTGCATGAATGGGCTAGACAATAGAATGTTCGGACTCACCTCACCAGCAACCCATGATCATGAAAGACTGTGGCAATTCTGTGCGTACGCAGGTGTTACGGCAGACTTCCGGCAGAACTCCCGCACAGGAAGAACAAGAAGAAGAAGAAGAAGAAGAAGAAGAAGGAGAAGAAGGAGAAGAAGAAGGAGAAGAAGAAGGAGAAGAAGGAGAAGGATAAGAAGGAGAAGAAGAAGAAGGAGAAGAAGGAGGAGAAGAAGAAGAAGAAGAAGAAGAAGAAGAAGAAGAAGAAGAAGAAATGAAACAGGAGGATGATACAGCAGTGAAGTTATACATATTCGAATGATCAATCTTGTGTTCTAGGTGAGAAGCAGAATAAGGACTGAGAGCTATCAAAAGTACGTAGATTTCTAAACAAGAAATTACTTGCCAACAGGCATACTCGTACCTTGCACGAAGCCGTAAGTTATAATTAGCTGCGACACCGAGCTGGCGAAGGAGGCCGACAGGGAGCCCGCGAAGTAGATCAGGCCGCCGGCGACTGCCACCTGCCGGTACGTGAATTTCCGGTAGAAAGCCGGGCAGAAGAGACCTGAAACACGAGCGGCAGCTTAAAAAGATACAAACTGAGGTGACCGTCTCCCATTTGGCAGAATTTTACATTTGGCAATGAATCGTCGCCAGGACCGGTCATTGGTGTTGAGACCGACTGGAGACTTGACCCGGTGGGGGGCCACACTTTCCCCTTAATCACCCCCCAAAAATGTACATGAAGCGAAAAATACTAAACAATTTTTTCAAATTGTCATATTTTTCATTAAAGTATCGCCAAATTGTTATAACATTAATTTTATGTAAATTCAGCTGTTCATTTTTGCAAAGTAATGCGCAAGACTTTGCATTTTTTTAAAATATAAGCTCATTTAACAATTTTTGCAAATCTATTTGATTGGTCATTAATGTGGCAAATAATGTACTTCTAATGTTTTATCTCTCATGTGCAAACCTGTTTGCATCGAAGTAATGGAAAACCACTTCTCTAGAAACTACGTTGCCGAATATCTTTTAACAATAGAACCACTTCTGTTTGGGGTCCATTGGTAAGTTCTTTCTTTCATTGTCATATTTTTTAAGGTCGCGTTTGAAATACTGCATCATGTAGCGACCACTTTGATTGTTTTTCTCCTTTTGCGGTAACTACGGCATGCCTGTACAACGTCTGCTTCCGCATACATTCTGCACTTACGAGCCAGCCGTCTGCCCGAAACAGCGGCGAAAGTGCAAGTGGTGGGGAGAAGACAGTTTTGCGGGGAGGAGAGTACCCTCCCATTTTCACAGAGAGGTCATCGCGGCGCGTAACTTGTTGAATGCCTTGGCGTCTAATGCAATGATCCAAGTTGTGAAATTATTTTCCCGGTTATTTGAATGGGCAATCTACATATATCTACCTACAAGGGCCATATTTTACTGTTTATATTCTTCTATGCTCTGCTATGAATCGAAGTATTTTATTTTTTAATTTTATGCTTATTGTAACTCATAAATAATATTTGAAAGCAGTGGATTCTTTTAAAAATGTACTATGTAATTTTAAGTAAGAAAAATTTATAATTTAATAATTTATTTTCCGCCAGAATGTTATGTCCAAATCATAGCATAACGTAGAAATTGAGAGTAGTCTCTGACATCGAGATTTATATATAAAACTCAAATGTAGGCAATTCCAGGAACGATAAAGTTTGGCAGAACATATTTGTGACTATTTTCCCTCATTATGAAACTGAATAAGATGTACCAACGAGCAAATCTCTTTCACGATATTTTGTGGGCAATCATGATATGATTATGGGTCTTGTTAAATAGAATGCAAAGGGCGTAGTCTTTTTATACGATATCTTAAACGATTATGAATAAATACTGTTTCCAGATTTGCAATTAAAAATATATAATATACTCTTGTTCGAAATTGGAGAATTAGAGCAAAGAGCTATCATGATTATTTAAGTATGAAGTTTTTAGCTTCGCTAGAACCGTCTTATACAATTAAACATAGTTAATGAAAAAATAATTGATTTCTGTCATGGAACAAAAAAGATTCAGTATTACAATTTTGTACCTAGTAGCACGGTAAATTAGTGATTACATCGTAGCAAGACGAATTACATTTTCATATAATTAAATAATTTATTATAATAAATAAATTGTTATAATACAAAGTCATCTTCATGAAATTTATATGTCTAATTTGTTTTATGTCTTAGTGTACATTGTCATGAATCGGCAACAAATATTTCCAAAATGAAAGGTAATGATAGTTGAATTATAAGTCCCTCATATTCTACTCGAACTCCACTCGAACTGCGCATTTTCATTGGCGGTCCCCCAGATTGGCTAACCCCAGATTTCACCGACCTTAGGACGAGTCGTACCCCCACCCTTCCACAAGACGCTTGGCCCGAGTTGCTCGAAGTGCAGAATTCCGCGCGGGCCCGCTGTAGGGGGAAGGACAAACACCCCCTCGGCCGAGGCGGGTCGCGCACCCTGGGTCTGAATCTGCAATGAAGGGGGACGCACCGGCCGAGTCGAGGCAGATGGTGAAGGCGCTCATGACGGAGGCGACAGCCGCGCCCTCGCTGCCGGGCGCCGTCTGCAGCACGTCGGCGAACACCAGCCCGAAGCACGGCAGCGCGCCCCAGAACGCCATCTGCGCAGCGGCCGCCGCCGTTAGCCTCCGCTCAACACTGCTTTTTACGAAGCTTCCATTATAAATTGACTTAGCAATAACTATAACTTTTATGGTTTGGTGTTACCACTCTTAATTTTAACATTACCTTGTATTTTCCCACAATTATTATTAGTTTTCATTATTTACAAAGGTGTATGTAATTTTGCAGTTTTTTAAACTAAAAAAAATTTTTTCAACAGGTATCAACGAGAATATTGCCAAACATTTGAATCTGCAATTTTCCGCGGGTATTGCTACGCAATTCTTACCAATAAAAGATATCCGTGGTTCTATGCCAGATCCTTCGTTTGTGTCCTATTCAGTAAGCGGCGGCTTGTGAGTAGCCAGAAGCCCAATTGGCAATAAGCACTTTTCAGAATTCTAGCTCATTCACTTTTGATAATTCGGGTCAAACAAAAATTACCAGCGCCTTAATGAGAAGATTACGCTTACGGTAGAATATGTAAAATACAATTGAATTCATATTTTTTTTAGATTTGAGCATAAAGATATAAACAGATTATATACCAATTGGAACCAAAAAACAACGAAATAGGAGATGATGCTAAATTATAATTCAAAACACCCCTTGAAACAAAAAGCCGGTATCATTTGTAACTTGGTAGATGGAGCGCTAGAATTGGCTGTCCCCAGATTTCACCGACCTAATTTATAAGTAGTGCACGAGATATTATAAAATAATAATTATACGAAAAATAAGATCAAAAATACATTATTAACATACGACATTTCTGTAATAAACCTGCATGCAACATTATAAAAGACTCGACGTTTTGTCCGCCATACATTCCACAATTAACAAATACATTAGCCCCGTGTGTAACTTCATCTAAATGCACTCGTGCATTTAATATAACATACAAGAACAATAATATTGTAAAGAATATATGCTACCACCTCATACTTTACATACAAGAACATTAACAAAAAACAATAGTTAAGAATGATAAAGACAACGTAATAAATTATAAAGAGAAAACATTGTTTTTGAAAATTTCGGATAAAATTGGAATCTTAAATACATAGGCCAAACTAAAAGAAAACTTCCAATAAGAAACTCCCAACATATAAATATGATCAAGGAAGTGAGAAATGAACAAAAAATAAATAAAAATATTCAGTTGATGAAAAAATAAATCTTCCCTAAAGATTTATTCAATATTATCGAAAGATTTCTTGAAACAATTTACATCACTTCCTTAAAAATATTTGAAGTAATATGTCATTATTCTTCGTTAGCTTTTCGCTTTCCGTGATAATCACAAAAATATTTTAAAAAACGTGTTACTCTTGAGATAACTACGTGAATGAACATGCTGACTTAAAAATTTCACCGAATCACTGCTGATAACAAAAATACTGATACAGGTAAAACACCAACCAAACCTAACAAGACAGGTCTTCTATCTTCACTGTACACTCACATCCTTCCACAATTAGGTACACAGCACTTGTAGACCTCTACAAAACGTTGAATGAATGTTTTCACGACAAGCATACGAAACGAACTTCATCGGTATCAAGCACCTATTAATAGCACTACTGCTTCGAGAGCGAATCTTGAATTAATAATTATGCCAATAAATCTCGTCAGTCAGCGCAAACCACCGTGTACACTGAAGGCGTATATAATATGACATAGAGGATTCTAAGCATTTTAAGGTGGCCACCCTTACCCAGGGATAAAATGTAGGTGACATTGATAGTCACGATAAACCAGCGAAAATTTAATAAAGAGTCCAAAATTATCTCATTCTATAGATTAAGGTATGAGGCACAGTGTTTTGAGATCAGTGGCCTTAAAATTTTAGTTGCATTTAATATTAATATTTAAATGCGTTTTTAAACAAATAATTCATATTTTTGAAGTGAAAGTACAATTAGTCACGTCAACGTGAAATTTTCTTTCTTTAGAGTCATGGACATTTGTTTGGGATTACATGCAGTTTCTCTACATGGTTCACAGCTGCATTGGATCATACAGGGCAAGCATAAATTAGAGATGGTCTTATCAATAACTTGTATAGCATGTTCGCATTCTATGCTGACGGAAGATTTTGAACTCAGTAGAGTATATAGTTTCATACATTTTAATATGTTTTATCAGTAATTGTTTTATATGGTCTTTCCACGTTAATTTAGTATCAAAATGGATTCCTTGGTATTTATCTGGTGCATTTCTGGGTAGCAATTCAATAGAGGCTTTTTGAATCTGTAATGGCGGTGCTGCTACATCTCCCCTAGGAAGCTCCCAGCGCTGCCTGATACTCGCGATACCAACATAGTTTTTAATAGTACTCTCATCAGCATGATACCACTGCAGAGAAACTTTCCTAGGGCCTTATGGAACCCAAAAGCGGTTCTAGCTGGGCGCGTGTCCTCCCTTGAAAATTTACAGAATAAGAACCACACGTTTACAGTCTATACGTTTATGTAATGATACAAAATGAACCCTATTTTGAATAGGATTTACATTATTTTCTTTTGCACTGCTGAATAACTTATTGCACTGCATCATGTCCTGTATGAGCAACGAGGAGTGGTTTATCGTGTACAACACACCATTTTCATTTCTATATCCCAGATGTTAGAGTTTCGGTTAATTTGTTGGACTCACCTTACTCAAGGCAATGGAGACGACGATCAGCCAGCTCCACCCGCCCTCGGGCGCCGCCGCGTCTTCCGCGTCGGCGCTGCAGCTCTCGGCCTCCGCCCCCTGCGCTGCGGAAGACTCTCTCGGAAAAGTTTCATAGCAGGAGGTAGCGTTGGAATGAGGGTTTGATCTTAAGAAAATTGGAGGGCTCTGATTAGCCCCGAAAAGTTTCAACGGGTGCTATTTTTGGAAGCTAAGCTTGGAAATTACAGAATTCAAATTTATTTGGAGAGGTTTATTCCAGGAATGCAAATAAATACGGCAATTGCCATAAAAAAATGTAATACTTGCGGTAAATCTGAGTATGGGTAATGAAATTAAGTTTATATTACGTTTATTTTTATTAATTAGAACCCAAATAATTGAGTTTTTCATTATAAAATGAAAGCAAAATTTAATCTAAGAGTCAAAACTCATTTAAATTATTATAGTGTACGTGCTTTTGAGATAGTAGCGCGAGTTTTTTAGGACAAACGTTCATTCTACGTGAACGAATTCTAAGTTGTAGTAATGAAGTTTATGTGCCAAGAGTTTGGTACACAGCATCTGCTTGATATAACTGAAAGAAATCATAAAAATGATATAATGACACCCGTGAATCGCTATAAATATGAATACAATTACAAATCCTAAACTACAGACTATAAGTCAACCCCCTCGACGAAAATAAGACAAAAATACAATGACTAGCATGGTGGATGGATGGTTTCAATATCAACGCTTCGAAGAGAAAGAAGAAGAAGAATTTAGAGGTGAAGAAGAGGAAGGAAACTATGAGGAAGAAAAGTAGAAGACGAATAAACTACTGGTGCTAAAGAATGGCAAGACTTTTTCATATTGTTAGTTTCCTATTCCCCTAAGCCCTTTCAAATATCCTGAACGTCACATTAGCCGAACTCAGACATTTTCCAATACATATTTGTCCACGCTATTCCTTTGTTCTACCTTATTTATACTGATGATCTGGTACAAGTTTTCAAATTCCCCAAAGACCCGCGACGCCTCAAACCCAACTGCAAACATTAATGTTTTGCGTTCATGTCAAGCCTTAGCGCAAACATACTTTGGCTCATCTACTCCAAACCGATTTATTTGCCTCAGGATGTCACTGCAGTCCCTTTGTCCGGGAGGTCCTAGAGTTGGAGTGCGACGGTGGCAGAACTTCGGACACCAGCTACACAGCTTGGTGGAATTCAGTTTAAATAATAATGTTTATTTATTAAACTTACTGATTATTAAAAATTTCCAGACGAAGGATGGGGGAGGTTCAAAACCTTGAGCGGCAACAGAGTGCCGTTCGCTGTTTTATTGTCTTGGAAACTCGAAATCATTGGAACTGAAGATACCAAAAGACGATAAAAGACATCTTGCATGGTTTTTGTACGCGAATATTTCTTGGGGAAAATTTCACAATAACGTGCGTGCCCATGAATTATAATGGCATGAACCGAGACGGTATAGGGTTCCACAACATCGGTTCTACGTATCGTTTGGATAGTTTGCAACAGAATGTTGATTTTTATGATTATCTCTTCATCCACTCAAACTACTAAACCACTAAAATGCTAGCTGTTTTCTGCACATTGTCAAACAATCGCCTGGCGGTATTTTGGACGTTACTTGTATCTGACCGGGGTTGGGTATGTCGATTCGCAAACCGTACTTACGTTTGAAATCATCTTGAACTTTCACTTTTCGTGCAGCACAATTTTGTTCCTGATCAGCAGAACGAGCTAGCCACTTTTTACTTCCTCGTTACGGAGTAGAGAGAAAGTTGTGTAATGCTGCGCGCAAAAACAGAGGAAAAACTCGTATTTAAGGGCCCTGTAACGAAAAAGTGTTTAAATCCAGTTGCTAAATTAAAAAAAATTTCTATCACGTGGTATAGCCAGAATGCATATTTTGTGAGTCCTTACTACCGAAAAATCGAATTACAGCACGTCTGTCCATCCATGTGTGTTCCGTCTGTGCCTGATTGTCAGCCTGTGAACAACGCTAGCGGCTAAATCGTTCAACCTATTTTTTCCAAAATTGATATTTCTATAGTTTAAAAAAAATGGCAGCATCGTTTTTGACTAAATGCAGTTGGATAGTGTAGAAAACATTTAGGTTTCATGTTTGTTTAGTATTCTAATTTTTCAAAAATTGTTATAGTTTAAATTTTTCGGAGTCTTCCTACAACTAAAATATTAATGATAGAGATTTTTTCTTTTAATAAAAACTGTTCCTTAAAAATTGATTTTGCAATAAGGTAAGGTGTACACTTTCAAAAATTTGAGAGATTTTTAGGTAAATGTGCGTGAAAATACGGGCGAGTAAGTCCGTGTTTGGCCCCACTATTTCTGTATGTTATCATCACCGCACTAGTTAGATTGGCGTAGAAACGATACATACATTTTATCCATGCATGCAGCGATGGCATACCAAAAGAAAGGTTATTTTCATTGATTGATTTATTAACCAGTATTTCAATATCATTCAAATCCTTTGACGTAGACTTGCAGATGTAACAGCACATCGAGATTGAAGGATCAGTCATAGTATATTTTACTTTCCCATCAATCATCGTAAATAGCATCGTATTTTATTTGTATGTTTATTGCCATCAACTAATTTATAAGGTGTAAGATTTTTAATTTGATCTTCGATACGTTGCTGTTCTTGGCGAGTGCTTTCTGAACTGGGCGGGCCAGGCGTCTGGGGCGGGGCAGGACGAGGCACTCTGTATCTAGACAGGACATTTGCGCACTCCCACAGTTAAATGATGATAATACAAAAAGAGACAAATATGTGCAGCTAACATTTGGCATACTGATAGAGAACAGTGGGGGCTTTCAGACAAGAAAAATTTCAAAGTGGTACTAAGCGGTATAAAAATTATAAACCTTAACATGAAAAAGAAAGAGATACGTAGAAAATGTTAAAATACACATGCATGACCCCTCAATAGAAAAGTAAACTTGTCAGATATTTAATTTACTTTCAGATATATTATTCATCCGGCAACGTGGAAAAATCCAAGCAAAAACGTCAATAAATACTGTTTTTACTAACGGAAACTTTCTTCACAATCTCGCGTATGTTTCAACGTACAGGTACCGCCCACACACGAATAATGTTGGATTGTGTCTGACACGCAGGAATACGATACACTAAGTACTTCTCTACACGATTTAACGAGAACTCGTGTCGGTCTCTAAGCGCAAAACTCGCTTTTTTTTTAATTATGGCCAGGTTGTGTAGATCGCCGGCGGGTCGGTATCAGGTAACAATAAAAGGAGCGTTTCTGTAGAAAACTATTCGCCCCAGCACTAACTTAGTTTATGCTTCCTGCAAATACAATTATGCATATACATAATAATCTAAGAAAGGAACGTGTGGAAGGAGGGGTGTAACAGAATGGCACAGACTTCTTCTTCCTAGTTAGTCTCCTAATCTCTTTCTAGACCATCTTTCCGGTTTCCCCACACTCTCTTTCCAGTTGCTACTTTCGGCGTCAACAACACATTTTTTCACATTTACTCAATTTTTCGATCCACCCAGAATAAAACTTGAGTGCTACAACAGCACATATTTTCACGCCTTATTTCTAACTTTACCAATTTTCAAACTTTGAAATACGAATTTCCAATATTCACAGAGTTAAAGGAATATGAGACCTCTGCCAGGTTTAAGTGCCCTTTGCTTTCTCCAAGGAAAACGTTTAAAGAAAAAATTGGAGCCATTTTTCAAGCAAAAATTACGTGACAATTATTGGTTTCAAAAATTGTACATGACTTTATTTGAAGACCTATTATATTGTTCAGTTTTTTTATTTGTCTTTCCAGCATGCTGAAAAAGATTATTAAATATTTAGTTTGATTGATATTTTTTGTATAATATTAGATTTATAAATTGAATGCTTTTCTGAACTTCACATTAAAATATTTAAACAACTTTGTATTGTTTTACGCGTTTCAGTCCCCGCAAAAAGTTGGTAACACAGGCGATTTCCCAATAAAGTCATAAATACTGATTTCATAAATACATAAATGATAAAATCAGTTATGGCACTGGGAAATATCCACTGGTTTGAAGTGTTACCATTGTGATAGCTTGGCAACAAAAAAAATCACATGAATCCGCTTTTGTAACCTTTTTGTATTGCAGTTGTCCGCTCTAACAGGACATGGAAATGTTTGCGCTACTTTAGCGAACATTAGCGAATAAAAGACAATTTCCGTTACTCTATCATCTTTTCGCAAAAAATATTCATGTATAAATATAGTTTATCAAACAGAAGTCACCAACTGACTTTGACAGTTGGAGAGAAACTCGTAGTATTTTTAAGCTATCTATCAAACACTGAAATTATGCTTTCGTATTCAGCAATTATTAATGATCTTTTGGCGTAGAACTGACATTATCGCAGTACTTGCAGGTTAACCTAAATTTTAAACGAAAAGGAACCGTTTTTACTCGTAAACAAAATCTAATGTTTTCCTCCTGAACCTCAAATTATTATTAGCGTAGTTTAAAAAATGCTGACTGGGTAAGGAGGAAATAGTGCAACTCTCGCGTACATCTTTTGTTTGTTCAGCACTAGCTTTCGCAAATGTAGCCAGGCCTAAATTATTTTTCATCGCCTTAAAGGCCATAATCTTGCGGTGGAACCGCGGTAACTTAATTATATTCTGATAATGGGTTCAAAACATGTAAAATATTGGTCCTACAGGCGAGCATAGATTTTCGCGTACTACTGTTTTTCGAATATTTTCGGCTACAATTTGTAGGCTTACAAGTACTTTTTAAATATTTTCTTAATTTTTCAGCAGAATAGAAGTTATGATGTTGCAACTCAGCTCATATTCGCGTATTGTTTATAATTTTCGCAATGTTTGAAAATTCAGAGAGTTCAAGGACAATGAGACCTGTGCCATTTTTTGTGTTCTGTGATCTATCGGAAAAGAACTTTTTGAGTACTCATTATAAGTAAACTCTCGAAATTTTAAAAAATTGCAAATTTCGAAATAATGTGAGAAAGTATGCGCTGTTGTAGTACAATTAGTTTTAATAAAATATATGAGAA